AGCCACGCCAGCCGAGCCCCCTTCTTCTCCCCGTGTTCGTCTGTGTGTCGTACGGTTCATTCATTCGGTCGTCGCACCTCGTGATGGACGCGGACGCAGAGCCGGGTGTCTGTAACCCGACACAAAGCGGCTGGCGGGACGTGTGAGCCAGCGACCAATGCCATGCGGTCTCCACGCAAGGACGGGGGGAATGGAGTCAACGGGGGCTGGGGGATGGGTTCGTTTGTGGAACAAATGACGCTCGAAGCCAGTAAAATTATCCTCTGGGACTGCGATGCGCCTCATTAGGCACGGTCAGTGGTTGTACAGGAACTGTACACAGGAAAGTGCTTCTGGAGGCGAGTTCCTTGACTGGTCAGCTGAGCGAGCATCGCGAGAGACAGGTCAGTTCCCGTCACCGAGTTCTTGCCTAGCCAAAGAGAAAGAAAACTCACCTCACCCACCCCCAACACCTTACTTGAACCTCCGATCAATACGGGCAAGAGGGAGTAGGCGTACCGTTGTCTGCACGCACCCGCCGCGGCATCGCATACATGCCGCATCCAGCTGCCCTCATTCACCACTCGCATCATAATTCGTCCCCGTCATGATCATGCGAGCTGCGCGGGTTCCCGTTGACGAACGTTAGGACGCGGTTGTTCGACCTGCCGTCTGCGCCTCGCCGGAGCGAGGTGCCGCATCTGGCTTGCTGCTCCGTGACTGCGGTTCCCCGAGGCGGTGGTAGGACGACAGGACTACACACAGTAAACATGATCTTTTTCGTGGAACGGCTGGTCAGACTTTTGATCGTGTTTTCCATCTTTCTCGTCCGATCGAAGAGAACATGAGAGTGAGCGTGGGCGTGAAGCAATGGTCTCACGGAGATTTCCGACGCAGTAGACGCAGAGGAACCTGCTCTTGCTCGACCCGATCTGGTTATTATTGCTGTCGCCATCATCAACATCGCCGTTCTTGTGGCTAACTCGTGTTGGTATGGTTATGGGTATATCCCTCCCTGCGTTTTGACGGCCATGTCTCGACCAGCGCAATGCCTCTCTCCACTACTCACCACTCGGGGACGTCAGGTACTTCGTATACTCGGCCCGTCCATTTTCGGTCTCGGTTTCTCACACCCTTGATACCAAAACACATGCTGAGCAGAGCAATTGTTGCTCGCCGTGGGCGCAAGTGCGAGGCTGTAGATAAATCCTTCGTTCTCACCGACGGCTGTGGTGTTTCCTTTCGATATGTCTTAGTGTTTCGGGACCCGACGCTCGAGGGTTGTCGGTGAGAAAACGGTGCTTTGTTGCTTGGCTAGTGTAGAGCCCTTTTTGAGTTCCAGGGTTTACCCTTGCTCAACACTTCTGCGGCCGACAATAACCCCGGTGTTCTGTCTTGGCGTCAACCCTTGTCACGACGGTGTTCTCCGTACTTTTGCCGTTTCCAAGGAACAGCTCTAGAACCTTTCACATGGCGGCTCCCACTTCCCGAAAAAGCCAGCCGACGGCTGGCGTCTGACATTTGACAGAAAGACCTGGTAAGCAAAATGTGGGGTTTCTTTTGGACTTTCTTATCAAAAGAAAAATGGGGGGCTGCTTGATAACTAATGGACGAACTGTGACATGGGTCGGAATAGCTTCATCCATCTCCTTAAACGGGACGCACGTGTTGACCTCATGCGCAAAAAAGGGGTGCCCACCACGGCGGCTTGGCGACCAACCACCAAGCGCGCCTCCAAGTGACGAAGAATCTCGGCGCGGCGCCCCGAAACGGACCATGTTTGCGGGTTTGCGGGCATATCGATCGGCGTGGGTAGCGACAGCCCAAGAAGGCGGGCGAGCAGCAAATCGTCGTTTTGTTGCAGGGCCACAAATATGTCGGCCACCAAACGGGGAAACAGCCTTCGGGAGCCAGGTGGGTGTCCCGGTGCTTTGTCCTGCCATCCGCCGTGACATCGTCCCGCTTTAATATTTCATGTCAACTGGAAAACAGGCGGCTGATGGACTTTGCATTCGTCATCCGGTGCATTGGGCCCGGATTTGCTGTATCGCTGCTAGAAATGAACGTAACGTTGACCTTGTGATCGACGATGTCAGACGCAGACAACATGCGTTTTTGTGGAAGCAGTCTTCCGTTGGGAAGTCGTGTACCATGTAACCAGTGTTCTTGGGGATGAACTGGTGTTTTTAACCCGCATGGTGGGGAGTTTGAATTCGCAGAACAACACGTACGGAGTATTCGTAAACTCCATTTTGACCTTCCTTTTTCCCGACCGTTTCAGGCAGGAAGACCTCAGACCATTCTTCCCAGGCTTTCCAGAAACACGTGTGATCAGGAACACACCAGCGTCGATGGCGTCCCTCTTTTCGACGGAGGGGTGACAACACCGGTGGGGCAACCAAAGGCCCCTTCACGGGATTTTCCGCCTCGGTGACAGAGCCAATGGGACAAGGCTCCGAGTGAACCACCGTACTATGTATTGCGGCGTGCCGGCGACACAACACATGGCAGCTACACTAGTCAAGTATATCCGATCGTGTTCCGGGTTGCGCAACAGCAGGCATGTTTTGGCGTTTTGGGCCTAGCTGTGTCTTGAGCTGCGAGATCTTCCGGCGCACAAGAATGCCCGAGGGAACCATGAACAACCCGGGGAGTATAGCCGCAGGCGCTCGTTGCTAGCCATCACAAGAATCATCCCTGGGCTGTGACACCTGAAAGTTGCAACCTTCTTTTTTACCCGTTTTGAGCGCTGGGGTGTTGATCTGCGTGCAGCCGATCGAGCAGCTCGTCCCGGGAGATCTGAGGAGCACGGCATCCCAACCGTAAATGTTGATTACTTGGGGCTCACTGGCACGGCTCCGCCGACGTCACCATACTGCGCATGCTTGAGATCTCGATAAACCTTCCAACACCCGCCAAACAATTTCCCGGTCTGTATCCTGTGTGAGCTTGTTGTCGCCAATGCGTCTTCGGAACAACCAGCCCAGAATGCTGATATCGGGCTCGTTTGGGTGGCCTTGTCCGCGGTGCGACCAGCCTATTTTCCCTCTTTTCACCGCTTGAACTGTCTCACCCGACGCTGACGGTGACAAGGGTTGGGCCGTTACATCTCATGTCGGCATGGCTGACTGCTGCAGTGGAGGCGGGGAGCGAAGGAATCGCGTATGTCAAGCGAGGAGAATGCTCAGGTGAGAGTGGATGCTCAACGGCCGAAGTTTTTTTCTCTTTTTTTTTCGCGTCATTCGCATCTCCACGAGTGTCCTTTGTACGGCAGGGGAGTTCAGAACCATCAAGGTCGGGTGCCCAATCAGGGCAGCTTGACGGGTCAATACAGTGTTATTTCCGTTTATTCTACTGTTTCAATCATGGGCCCTCCTCGACATCAGAGGTCCTACGAAGCACACTATGTAACTACGAAAACACGTGCAGTGTGCACTACCGCCGTCTGGACCAGCAATTGTAACTCTTGTGTTTTTCACTGCTTTGGCATTATGAACGGGGTGGGGTCTTTTCAACCGTGGTTGAAGAAAGTTTGGTACCGGGAAACTCAGCGAGATGATCATCGTTCCTGTCGCAGATTCAGACCGAGAAACACAGTACAAAGACGGTGTTAACGGAGAGAAAACATTCCACCTGTGTTATTCAGCCTGTGGCTGCCGCTTCTTCACCCTGGTCAGCGCATGCCCCATGCAATGGTTTTGGACCCTTCATGTTGCAGAAACACACGCGACACGCCGCGTGGCCAGCGGAGGTTCGCAATTGCGTTTTCAGCCGAAAGCAGTCCCGTTCCGTATGTTTATTTGCCTTGCATTGCGCTGCGAAAGGAACAGAAAATGGCAAGACCATTGCGAGACAAGCTCACAAGAAATGGTTGCGAATTGCTGGCTTGCACAGCCCGTCGTGAACATGGAGCTGATCACTCTCGAGGAGACGCCCTGAGGTCAAGGTTCTCGCAATCCGGAAACGCCTTCCGACTCTCCAGGAACTAAAAAAGACCACGCTGGTATCTTCTCGTGTCCTTTGCGGCTTTGCCGTCCGTTCGACGCACCGTCATTACCGCAGTCCGAACCCGGTTGTATCCAGCGCCGGCCGAGGGCTTCAAATGAACTTGACCCCCATGATAGTTAGTTAATGACCCACACGCGGGGGGCGCCCAGTCCCGCGCCATGGAACCTCATCGGATCCTCGGCCGAGGACCCCTGTCATAACGGAGGGGCGTCTGTCAAAGAACTAAGGTGGTGTGTCTACAAACATGACATTCGGTGGATTTCGATTTTCACATCAGGGAGGTGCCGCCCTGCCCACCCCCCCAGGCCCTGGCTCACATGCCCCGTCACTTCTCGCCCGTCACTCCCCTCCCCTTAACCCCGGCTACGGTTAGGGGAACTGCCCCATGGACGGCCCGGGCCCCAGGACCGGCCTCCTGTGTGGCTATTGGGTCCAAGGAGAATAAAACTACCGGTCGAGCCTCCGTCCGGTGTTTTCAGTGTTTCAACCTTGGACCTAGGCGGACGGACCGAGAGTCGTGTAAGTCGACGACGCCCGAATCAACTGCCCAAACGAGGCCCCTTCCCTCGCAACTGCCAGGGTCTAGGTGACCAAGCGAACCAACTTCGATTTGCATAACAGCATCGCTACATTTCCCGATCCTTTCTTTTAAGACTAGCAGATCTCCTGCTGCTTGGTGCATTTTTCCGATCAACTTCGCCTCCCGTCATCCTCTCACACGCATACATACGCACACGGGCTGCAGGTCATCCTTCATCGTCTATTCTGGATCAGCTCCCGGCAACCTGCCGCTCCGTTACACACTGGTAGCGCTTTCATCAAGAAACCCCATTTGAGATCTCAGCCAGGACGCTTGTCTCGTGTTTCTTGACCCCCTCGCGTATTTGGGGTTTTCTTTTCCCACCTAACGCTACGTCCACCTCGACTTAGGGGCTGTGAGCTCTCCAGGTGTCGTGGCCTCTCCGGTCGTCTGTTTCGCCTCGATATTATCACTTCATCACGACGCCCCTAGCATGGCGTACCTCAACGGCCATGCTTCCTACTACTCCGACGGGTACACGTCCGCTCGACCATCCCAAAATGCTCAGCCTGGGTACAGTCCGCAAAAGGAGCAAAGAACAGCCCTCAGCGTCCTGGAGGTAAACACGAGTTGAACTCCCGCGCCCACTACTATCCGCTTGGGCGTCGCTGTGGAATGCTGACTCCCCAAACAGATGCTAAACCCCGCACCGCGGCACCAACTCCGCCGGGCAGACACCACACCCCCATCGGGAGCAGCATCCCCCGGACACGGGACATGGTCTCCCTCTGGAGGCTCTACATCCCCAAACAACTACACCTTCTCCACCTCCTCATCCACCGTTGGGTGGGAGGACAGCCGGCCACCAGCGCGGGGAAACGACCTTACCCCCATCCACCACCAAAACGAGCCACGAGCCTGGTTGCCCCCAATCGTGGCACCCGCTGAGAGCCCAATACGTTGTGGCTATGGTGGTCACGGGAACCACTCCCCGTCACGAACCTCGGGTCATCACCCGGCGCAAGGGCATGGAGCGCGAACCCATGTGTCCACAGGTTCATACGGTAATGGTGTTTATTTCGGCACGCTTGGCAGCGAGCGGGACGTTTCTACCCCATCAACCCGAGATGGGTCCGAAGGCCCGTCTTCGATATCGTCATCATCGGCGGCTGCAGCATCAAAGTCGCGGCAGAACTTCACGCCGGCACAAATTAAGACATTTATGGATGCAGCGGAAGCCAAGATCCTTGAAAATGACGACCGATGCAAGTTTAAGCGTGAGGAGATGGAACAAATTGCCGCAGAAGCGAATGTGGCGCTGAGTATGTTTCTCGAGCAATATTCCCAGCCCGCCCCTAGCAGAAGAACAACTGGTATTGACTTCCCCTCGCAGAACAAGTCGAAACATGGTACACCAACCACCGACGCCGCGGCTTCCCACAACAGACCGTCGACGTACTCCACCGCGAGATCCAGCGCGTAGGACGCCGGTGTCGCGAGCTAGTCCAGGAAGCCGATCAGCTGCGCCAACAGGCCGGCGCCGATGCGAACGATACAGACGCCGAAACGACACCCGAAGGCGCGGCTGCCCGCGCCGCCCAGCTTGAGGCCATGCACCTAGCCGCGAGGCTAACCGAGCTGGAGAACTGGGAGCGCGAAGCCGTGCAGCGGCTGGCTAAGTTTCGGAACAAGGTCCGGGGTGAGGTCGGGTAGTGAGTGAGGAGGGTACTCGGTGGGCTTGCAGCGGCCAAGGAGGGCATTCAGCTTTCCCGGGATTTGCTCGCTCGGGATTGAACATGCCGCCGCCCAAAACTCCTCGGGGGCTGTTTCTGTCTTTTGTCTTTTTGGGGGGTCCTGCTGGTTTGGTTTGGCTTAATGTCGGCGTTGGACGCACACTAAAAGGGGGCTCGTGCCCGGGGAACCTGGGAAGGAGTTTACGGGTCTGGCTTATGTCTTATTGGTACATAAATATTTCCTACATTACGACATCCAGTTGCTAGGCGTGGTCAACAGGTAGTGGCCACGGGTGGCCGTACTCGACCAGTTGTAAATATTTTGGTCAAATCTACATAATTATCAAAAAATTTGCTGTCAAGAAATGCCGTCCTTGTTGCAGCGAAAATCGACCCCCGGAAGCAGACTGCCAAAAAAAATTGAACTCCTCCATTAGCCAGGGCCATAAACAAAGAAAAGGGGTCAGCTCATGTCCGACGGAACAGCAAGGGTTAGGGTTGGTGATATTCCTCACGAAGGAAACAGCATACTGAAGGCAAGAATGTTAATCGCACTTTCCTCAATTAACCAAAAATCACCAAAACACCAAAAAGGTTCGTCAGTAATACTCGACCGGAGACAAAAACATCACAAGCGGCTGGTGTTCCGACTGCCATTTGTCTTCGACACCTTATACCTCCGATACGGGGAATCGAACCCCGAGCTTCGCGGTGAAAACGCGATATGTTAACCGTTACACTATATCGGACTTGGTTGACGGATAAACTCCGCAAGTTCGGTTCAAGAGCCTTGGGGCCAACTGCTTGGCGGGCGCAGCCGCTTTTCGGTGGGCCGGGGTGGAGCTTGATTGGGTGTTGCAAACGCCGACTGTGGAAAGTAAGAAGGGTTGAAAGAGGGCAAGGACGAAGTGTCGGCTGTTTGGGGAAACACCGGTCCTGCCCTATGTGTGGACTTTCCGTCTGTACTAAGGGCAGCGGCTTAAAATGTTTTGGTTTTTTGAGGGATTGTTGACGGAACTTACTCGAGATTTGGGTTCTGGAAAGAACGATGCATAAGGCCATAGCACGGGTTAGGGTTGTTCGAGCCAAACCTCGCCCCTCTTCCCCCTGAATTTGTTGACAGGTTATTACTCACCTCTTAACATTGAGGCGGCGCAGATAGAGAATTTAGGAATGAACTTATCTTACCGCAAATAGCAGGCTAAGATACTCATCTCCTGTGTTCTGTACCAGACCTTGCTAAACGAGAGCCAAACCCCTAGCACGAGTGTGGGAGCCTCGAGTCAAAAGTCACTTCTGGCATAGCGGAGGAAGGAAGTCACGTTCTTAAGAGTAGTGTGGGCATTGAACCACCATTGCGTCCTATTGTTTTAGCATTGTTGCCGGAGACCGATTCTAGTGGAAAATTGCCTTCGTACCCCAGGTTGTTTGCGGGCACGCTATCCGACAAAACTTCTAGCTACATTGAGCGTTGGACTCGTCTCTTTCTAGGAGGAGAGGATTCCCCAACACCTACACAGGTTTATTCTTGATATCAACCTAACACACAATATCGGGGTTTGTGTTCCTACTACCTACATCGCCACTCAAAACCCTCAATTCATAACCCCTTCTGACTCAGTCTCACACTACACATCATCTGCATTCACGACCACCTCTGTGTCTGGCGGCACAAACCCTTGGGTTCACTGCTTTGACAATGACAATTTCTACCCAGCAAGATCTTTTGTTCACGACCTAACGTCATACACACCAGTATATCAGCAGCGACAGCTTCTCGGTCCTGGATCTTATCTAAGTCAAGCTCTCGAAACCAAGAAACTTTGGTCCAGGACGAAAACAAAGCTCTCTCATAACCCGAAACTGAGGGCAACTCATTGTCTATTAGACGAGGACTTTGACGAACAGCCTTTTGCACGATGGATAAAATTTCGATTCACTTGCCCAGTCGACCCAATATTTAAAGACCTTGATTCATAGCCGTGGGCAACCAAATCCCATCCGACGACGCTTTTTATCCTATCTCTTCACTAACCTGAGCACCTTCCTTTATTCCATAACCCAGCCTTTTACCCTCCAACAAACTTTGACTCATTATTCCTAACACAATACCCTCCCACACAGGTGGAGGACCTCTCCCAACCCAATCTCCAACCATGCAATACCTTATTCCATTCCATATTAAAACCTCCATTAATGATCAAATGCAGCCCAGCCTTTTACCCTTCCACAAAGTTTCATTTATTCCTTAACTAACATAATCCGTTCCTACACAGGTGGAAGGCCTCCGTCAACCCGATCTCTAATCACGCAAACCCTTAGTTCAATATCTAAACTAAGCCGGCCTTCCACCGCCCCGGAAACCGGGTCCACAGCCTCGGATAACCAACAAAATGGCGGCAGTACAAGATTCACGGTTCGACGAATCGTCCGCCGGTCCCAAATCCCCGGACGCGCCCGGGCTTTCGACCGCTTCCGGCGATAGCGAAAACATCTCTTCAGTAAGACTTGCTAAGAAGCAACGCTTGCGTGAGCTCCAGAACGAGCACGTTTCTGTGCGCACCATCGTTGTTCACATAGGAAAACATTACCAGGGCGTCGATCTTCCTGCCTGGCTTGACCTCAGTGTCGTTTGCGGACACCTGGCCCGATCAGGTGCGGCCCGCCAAAAGTCATCCTCTCACGCAGCTTGGAAGTATCTACGTGAGTCTACTTCAGCCATCCGCGAGTGGATGGGGCCATGCGACAGTTGGAGAGAGGCGATCAAGCAAGGGCGAATGCCGTACATCGGCTTTCCATCTGAGATCAAGGCAGTGGAGTTTATTCACGGCAAGGGTCCGCAGCTTCCCAACTGCATTATGCAGCAGATGATCCGCATCGGGCTGGATTATCTAGTGGATCACGAGCGGCGGCCAGACGACAAAATCCCTGAGTTTTGGCGGGTAGGTTTACGGTCAAAACTTCCTTCGTTCCTGTCAACCCGGCCGAACCCTCTTTCTAACTTACGAACCAAAACCCGATCTAGGGCGCCAAAGTCGACGATCGCATATGGCGGATCCAGCACATGCAGAACCACGGCTACCAACTTCGTATTCCCTTTGACGATGACCTCAACGACTTGATACGCAGCGTTGTACGCCACAAAAATAAACTAGGTCAGATGGAAAGCTCGCAACAGCCAGGAGAACCCGGATCCGACGAGGTGGCCCACCAGTCAAACAATCTCACCAACGAAGCCTCGGGGGCTGCGGGCGCCGCAATGGCCAACTTTCCCAAGACTAAGGGCAAAATCACACCGCGGAAGGACAAAGTGCAAACGGCCATGTCTAGAGTCACCGCCACAGTTAGTGAGGCTCTCGCCACAGAGCGGCAAAAGCTACTGGGCAAAAGACCGCTCGACAAAGGGGGAGAAGTGGCCCAGACAGAAACCCGCCACAAGCGGCCGAAGGCCGCACCGGGAGTCGCCCAGCCAGCAGCGGTCGTGGAGTCGATCGAGAATGGCGACGAGGAGGAGGAATTTGACACCCCCCCGCCAGCTAGGGGAAACGCCACGGCAGACGACGAGCGATTCCGATCACTCAGGAGTAACTACAAGAAACTCAAAAGGGCGGACCAACAACTAGTCAGCCGTTTCTGTGGCCTCGATCATACTGTCGCCATGATGGGGAACAACGTCGAGCAGTTGACGAAAAAGGAAAAGGAGCTGCGTAGGGACGTCAACGCCACCAAGCACAAGCAGCAGCAATTCAACGAAGGCATCGGCAAACTCGAGGCGGAGAGCAAGGGCCTCGACGAAAAAGCCCAACACCTGACGGTCCAATGCTCGGCCCTGACGGATAACATCCGAAAGCTCGAGGACAAGGAGGAGAAGGTTATTGCGCAGTGCAGTGCCTTGGAGGCCGAGAATAAGCTTCTCAGGGCCCAGATCGCCACTTTGACCTCCCGGATCGAAACTCTGGAAAAGGCCAAGTCGGCCCCAGAGTATAAGTACGCCGCCACGACGGCAACTGTCCCGGATACCGCCGCAGAGATCAAACCGTCCCGACAAAGTGCGGGCGCTCCCGCCCGGGAACAGGCGACCCCCGAGGCACTTCGAGACAGGACCTTTTCCGTTTCGCGGGATATCCCACACGGCACCGCCGCCTCTGCCGTACCCTCGCCGCGGCGGCCGACCTACGAAATCCACATACAGGAAGAGCGCAAGCCTTCCCTTCTGGCCCGCGAGTATCGCCGCTCTGGCACACAATTCCCACGGGTCCTGGACATGCCGACCTTTGAGCCGACGTGGAACCCCCACGAAGAGCTCAACCGCCGTCGTGCCCCAGCCCACCCTCCCATCCAGCTTCGAGAGGCGTACCAAGAAGTGTCTCACGCTCGTCCCGATTACGCCCCAGAGCCGCTCCAACCCAGACAAGACCCAGGCGAGCCCGCGGCCGAGTCATTCCATACGTCAATGCCGCGAACCTCGGCCCCGGCCCCGCTGCCAGCGCAGCCGCCTGCTTATATGCAGATGCCAGACACAGCGCTGGCGTACACACGCGCCCAATTTCCGACGGGGGACACCACCTCGGCAGCGCAGCCAATGGCTCGTCACTTCAGCCATGGCCCTACGCCCATGGGCCCGCCGATGAATCGGCCAGAGCACCCAGAAACCTCGACTCATGGCTACAACGAGATTGATCCGAGTCTCCGCCCAGGGGGGAACCCCTCCACGGCCAACGCCCTCGCAGTCCCCGCCACTACCGCAGACACCATTCCCCCGGCTGCTACACGCACCACACACCACATGAGCCCGGCCCCTCCCCAATATCGATCGCCATACCAACCGCCCCAGGCTCCGTACCAGTATCCACAAGGCTACCCACACCAGTACGCGCCGCCGGCCCAGGTCCAGCCCCAAGAGGAGGCTTCTCTACGCCCGCAGGTTCGTCCCAAGGCCGAGGAGCCCGCCGAGTAAAACTGGGGGCGCGTTTGCCATGGCGATTGGCATTTTTGCAGCATCTATAGCGTTGAGTTCACACGCACATATTACCATCACACCCACCCACAGGCATAGGAACATGAGGAGGGAGAGAGGGCGCATTTCTGATGGGGATGGTAGGAGTGCCAGCGGCGGGGGACGTTGATACCATTTTCAGGAGGGCATGAATGTGGCGGAATGGGGCGTAAATGGCGAGAGGATGACGGGGCGAAAAATCGTTTGGCGGATATGTGCCTGGTTTTGACGTGCAAAGAGGTCACTCGGCGGATGGTATGCCTTTTTATTTTCTTTCCCTTTATTCCTTAGTTACGATAGCACAAATTCCGACAGGGGGCGGGCAAAACGCACTACCCAGTATTGATTTATTGCTCTGATCGCTCAAATGCATTGTGGGATATTCTATTCTATAGGTAACGGCCGTTGATTTGCCAGGGTATATCCCTGTAATCTTGGAGGTAGGTGAGTTAACTTGGGACGAAATTTTGAAGTAGTGTTAAACAGGAAGATGAAAAGAGAAAGAAGGAAAAAAGATCGAGAAAAAAGAAAACGGAGCGTTGAGGTGTGGGGGGAGATGAACGGGGGGACTTGGAAATAACAAAAAGGAAAACAACAAAACAAAAAGGAACTTGAGAAAGATAACAAAAAAGAAAAAAAGAGTTAGGTAGAAAGCAAAAGTTTGGGGTTGGGACGGTTTGGGTATGCAAGTGCTGGGGGAGGTAGTGTAGAAAGGTTACCCGAGTTATCAGTGAAGAAAAGCAGACAGAGAGGGCAGTAAAAAATGTAATGACAAGACAAAGAAAAAAGAAGACTAGACGGGCAAAACGGTTGGCGGAGGAGCGGGAATATAATACCCTGTCGGAAACATTGGTAAAATGAGGTAGATTTTGAGAAGATTTGAGTGCACGAGTTATTTAAGGACATTAACTATCAAAGAATGTCGAGTTGATGGCTTGAATGAAAACAATGTTGACCCCTGGGTGCTGTTACAACTGTTGTTTTGCTGGCGTTGTTTCAACTGGCTGACCAGGATCACACAAGTTACCAGGGTCCCCTTTCCACTCCCCAAACCCAAACCTTTCTTTCATCTCACGTTATCTTCTCACCTTCTTAACACCATCCTGCAACCTCAATGCATCTCGAGTGAAGATGTATACATATATCATCGGGCTAATCCCCGTGCTACTTTTCTTTTACTCACCCATTGTCGAGCTGTTCTCTTCTCCGTCTCAAAGCCACAGCCCCCCTCCTCGTCAGTTCAACCCAGAGCTTCTCGCCCTAGAGGAGCCTTCCAATCACACATGCCCGACTGACACTTACCTTGTTCATGTTTTTTCTCGGGAGCCACTGGTTCTTTATGTCGAGAACTTCCTCTCAACTGATGAACGGGATCATTTGCTTGAAATAAGGTTTGTTCAACCGTCTTCTTCAAACTAGAACCAGTCAAATGAACCCAGACTTATCCCCCCAAAGCGAACCACTTTACAGCCCCTCTACGATAACCCACGACGGCGGCGGCACCACACACCACGACCGCTCCGTCCGCGATTCCGACGTCGCGCTCGTCCCGCGGACCTCTACTGTGCGGTGCATCGAGGATCGTGCACGTGCCCTCCAGGGATGGCGCGACGAGGTCTGGATTGAGCGCCTGCGGGTGCAGCGGTACGGTCCCGGCGGGCACTATGCTCACCATTTTGACTGGAACCCTGCGCGCAGTGGATGGGGGAGAGTGAGTAGCGCGATGGCGTGGGTTGGAAAAAGTGAAGAAGGGGATGGCGAGGGGTTGGTGGGGGGAGGGACGGAGTTTCCGTTGTTGAGGGCGGTGGAGAGTGGGAGTCGTTGGTGTCGGTTTGTGGAGTGTGCTGAGGCTAAGGAAGGGGATGGGCACACGGATGGTGATGGGGCCGGCGGCGCGGTAAAGGGGGTTGTGTTCAAGGTATTACCGGGCAATGCGGTGTATTGGGAGAACTTCAAGGCGGATGGGAGCAGAAGGGGGTTTGAGGAGACATGGCATGCTGGATTACCTGTCCAGAAGGGGGAGAAAGTAGGGCTGAACATTTGGAGTTGGGGCCGGATTGAGTAAGGGGGGAAAGTAAACATGGTTACCATATCCGGACAGTTGCTGCAAGGAGTGATGACTGTGTTGTGAACATTGTCGAGACGTCGACTGATCCCGGGACGCTTCTTTCCCGTCCGGATTGGCCCGGCGCGGCTTGGGCTATTTTCGTCGATGCAATCTCGAAACGTCATTCGGTGGAGGCACGGAGCGAGATCCCGTTGCGGGAGGAACGTAGATTCGGGACAAACCGTGGGGTTTGGCTTGAGTGGAAAGGGACTTTGACTTGTCGATGCAACTCGCATCCTGGCCATTCACAAAATTGCGCTGTGCAGCTGACGTACGCCAGCGGCCCAAGATCAGCTGGCACACCCAAGCTGCAACGCCATCTGCAGCATCCATGAGCCACGGAAGGGGATTTCTCGGGACTGAGAAAGCCGGTGCGGCGTCAAGGACGCCACAACGTGTCGACGTCGTGTAGCGATGACCACGAGAATGCACGGCTGTTTCGCAGTGCTTCGTAACTAGTTATTTGGGAATTGCGGAACGATCATTTCCAGGGGCAGCTGGGCACGGTATGAGTCACCTTGCGAGATGGTCAGCTTTCGATCCCTTTTTAATGAGATACTGAGAGACTTCCTCGACGACAGTACGGATCCGTAGGTTGTGTCCATATCGCCGTTTGCTCGACGTAATCTGGCATGGCGGTGCGACTTTTTCCTGAACAAGCTGATTCAGGCCGCAATGTCCTCCCTTCAATTTCAGGCGTTTTTTCAACGCGTTTGGGGGATGGAAGGCGCGCCTAATATGCTGGGTTCGGGTTGGGAAAGAAGTACCGGCCTAACAACCCCAGGGTCGGACGCCGGGCCAAAGACCGCCCGCCCAGTAAGTCCGAGATGGGGTCCGGTCAAATCCGGGATTTTAGTGGGACTCGGCCCTGGATCTTCGCTCAGTTTATCGTGGGATCGCAGGCAGTCATCACCCCTTTGGTGACGAATATGCTCGGTTCGGCAGCGCCCATCGAGAACGGCAGCGAAATAACACGGACCATCCTGAAGAGACGCTCTGCGAGTTGTTACAAGTATACATGGGGAGAAGCCCGGGGGCCGCATCAATTCTGAGCCCGAAGTTTCTCTTCGCCCCTCAGCTTGTCCCGTCCCCGGACTTGGCAAACACCGTACACCGCAAACGCCAGCCACAGCATGTCACCGTCGTCACCGGAAGATGGCCCTTCTGAACCCACCGCCACAGGCGCCAACAGCGCTGGAGCGGCTCACGAGCTGCTGGCCTGCGTGAGCTGCCGTTCGCGCAAGCTCAAATGTGAGAAATGAACTCCGTCCTCTGTCCTCTACTGCCCCAGCTCCGTTGAGGGGAGCCGCTATAGTTAAGCCCCACGTGCTTACTTAATATTGAATTTCCTAGGCGATCGCCAAAAGCCTATCTGCGCCCGGTGCGCGAAGGCTGGGAGCGAGTGTGTTTATCCAGAATCCAGGAGAAAACCTGCCTTCAAGCGGCGGAATGTGAGGGAACTCGAGGAACGGCTTGGTACGGCACCACCACTCTGTCCACCGTGACAACCCGCTTCTCGCCAGCTTCGTTGTGTATTGACCTACCCTCCCTGTTGTAGCCCAGGTAGAGGGCATGCTCCGGACTGTGGCCCAACCGCCCCATGTTACTGCCGCTTCGGCTCGGTCGGATGGCACGTGGACTGAGGACTCCTCCCCAAGTGCTTTCGGAGCCGAACCCTCACGGCCGGAAAAGCGCCATGGTAGCCCCCGCGAGAGAGCGATGCCGTGGAACCCAGCCCTGCCTCAGGCTGCGTCCTCTGGTCGAGTACACGCGCGCCCTACTGGCGAGCTTGTGGACTTGGGCCAGTTTGAAACCTTGCCTCCTTTTGAGATGATGGAGGACCTGTATGTGACACCAATGAGCCCCCCCCTTCAAGTATACCGCACCAGAGCCTCACGGTTACTGACGCCTTACTTAGTCACAATGTGTACTTTGCAACCCAGCGATATTTTCTGCCCATCATTCACCCAGGGAATTATCTACGCTCGTTTCACTCGGCTCCGCACATGCGTCCACCCATGTGCCTCCAATATGCCATCTGGACCGCGGCGTCAAACGGGCATCCCAAATACAATTCCTATCACGATGCTCTGTACCGCCGCGCCCGGCAATATCTGGAATCCGACGAGCTCAAGGTTTGCACATTATTCCCAGTTTCGGCTTGTTGCGTCCCTAACACGGTTTCTAGGGACAAGGCGAACATTTCATCACCGTTGGCCACGCACAGGCCTGGGTTCTCATCGCAGGCGACGAGGCCCGCAGCTTATTGTTCACCCGCGCCGGCATGAGCTCGGCCCGGGCTATCCGGCTGACCAACATGATGGGGCTTCACCGACTCGATAACGAGGAGGATGAGCTTCCTATGGCCCCAATGATCACCCCTCCCAAGAACTGGGGGGAGCTCGAGGAGCGCCGCCGTCTGTTTTGGGGTGGGTATTGCATCGATAGCTACGCCAGCATCAGCGCTGGGTGGCCAACCATGATTGACAGGGAACAGGTAAGTTTTCTATAGTGATGAGGGGGCGGATGGCGGCGCCATGTCGACTTACCTTCTAACTGACCAACCCCCCCTAGATCACTACTCACCTGCCTTCAAGCGAAGAAGCTTTTATCAGTGGCCAGGTGGAACAGGGGTGCACGCTACAAGAGAGCTTCCGAGGGGCCAACTACTCCGTCTTCGCCGGAAACGTGATTATCTGCCACATCTTCACCCGACTACTGAAGCACGCACACCGGCCCGTCCCGGATGACCACCCCGAAGACGTCGATTTTGGCCAATTCTGGACCCGCCACCGCGACCTTGACAACATGTTGTCCAGCGCCTTCATGTTCCTCCCCCAACGCTATCAGCTGCCCCAGGGCATGGCAGACCCAGTGGCCGTGCAGTACAACTTGAATCTACATGCTGCTGTCATCTGCCTACAGAACGCTTCCAAGGAGAAGGCTGATAAGTATAAACTGCCGGGGATAAGACAGTCAGCCCGGGTTCGATGCTTGACGGCCGCCCAGGAAATTGTCGACATTTTACGCGCGTCTTTTTTTACCAGGCCGCGGGAGGGGTTTAGGAACCCGCTCATGGCCCTTTCTATCTACTTTGCTGGATCAGTGTATATTGACCAAGCCAAAGACGATATTGAAGGGTTCAACAAGGAGAACCTCGAGTTTCTCCTTGAGTGCATGATCAATGCTGCGCACAACCATGCCATTACCAGGGCATACCTTCAGCAGCTCTTAGCCGACATCGAACGCAACGGCATCTCTGTTTCGGCAACACAGCCGCCCACTTCTAACAGGGATTTGGTTGAAAATGCCTACCACAGTATTCCGGTCATCGCTCAGTCGCGTCACACCAAGCCGCAGACGCCACTCCCCGGCCGCTTGCCTCTCGGAGCCGCTCAAGGTCCGGTATTCGATGCCACCGCCATGCCCTTCGATTCGGACTTGCTGTGTCCCGGGTCGATCGCTAGACTGGATGGCGACCCCGAAGCTCGCGCCAGTAAGCGCATGCGTACTGTGACTGGGATGCCCAGGCAACCTCCACACTTGGGCGTGCTCCCCTCTTCTTGGTCGGAACTACCAGCCGATACCGTCATGGACCCGGCACCTGATCTGTTCGAATACACCGACGGCTGGTCATACGCAACAAAATACATGATCAACCCCGTCACTACTCTCCCCAACATGATGCCCATCCCCCAAAACAATCGGGCGGCTATGCCACCAGCCCCAACCAACCCCACTCCGCACTTCAACTTCTCTATGGCTGGCCCGCCATCTGCTGCTGCTCCGTCTGACCTGTTCTCGGACCTTTCTCGACCAATCATACCGGCGTCCGTCGCATCAGGCTTTGGACTGGACACCTCCGGCGGAACAACGGGCATGTCCGTGGACATGAACATGAACCCAGATATCAACACTGCCATGAACACGATCATCGACCAACGCCAAACACAGCCCATGGATACAGACACCAACATGAACCCCACCGCTTCTGCCGCCGTCCCCGGCCCGGGAACCACCGCCCTTAGCCCCGACCTCGGTGACCTCGGCATTTTTGATCTCGATCAACACTGGTCTGTCGCCGAAACCTTCTACGCCATGTTGGACTTGACTGGAACTGAGCGTCTCAATGCTGCATCGCAACCGCAACAGGTACAGAGACAACAGGCCCAGGCACCTACCCAGGGACAAATGCGGGCGCAGCAAATGCAGAGCGGTGGGGATCTGAGCGCTTGGGCGGCCCTAGGTAATACCGGCGGCGGCGGCTCAGGTGCCAGTCAAGGGAAGAGAGACCGAGAAGGGGGGATGTGAAAGAAGAATCGGCTGAAAACAACAAGCCTGAAAATGGCTCGAGAAATGGCTTTGGGAGAATTAATATTTGGGGATTTCTTTTCACAGCAACGGGTCCTCTCGACACTCCACTACAACTACTTACTTACTAATGACTGAAACAGCCGCCGGCAATTTCTCTCCACTATTTTGTACGATATACTTTTGTTATACACAGCCACGAACGGGTTCTGCTCGGCCTAGCGAACGGATGTACACCACCCAAGAACGGAGAACAGAGGAGGCGGGAGACATTTGACAATATTGGAGGATATACCTTGGGGAATTTGTTAAGCATTTGCTGGATTGGGGGGTTGGGGGTTTTATATTTTCTTGCATTGGGACATGGTCAACGGACGGGGTTTCCAGGGTTGCTTTTGGGGTCTCAATTGGATCGGATCGGCGGACATGGCGTAGACGGAGGAGGGATGGGGCCTGAATTTACTTTGGGTGTTTGAATATGTGTATTATAAGCAGACCTAGACACTCCCCCCAAACCCCACCCTCCTTCATTGCTGTCGTTATCAAGCAAAAGATCACGATGGTGATGACGAATAGATCTTCTCTCACTATCTAATGTAATGTTTGTCCCGCGAGCAGCCCAGCCCAGACCCAAATACCAAAAAGGAAAAAAACCGCGGCATTGCTTTTGTTTCTCCCATCCGTAATTACCCATACAGCACCAAGCAGTCGCGTCTAATTCATGTATTTGTGTAGTTCATTCCTGGGGTTATTATTATCCGGACCAAAACATCGTGCCGTTGCGTGGGGATGTATGTCATGAGCGTTGCTGGCTCGCTGGCGGTGGAATCTAGGTTTCACACCAATTACGCCTTAGCCATCTCATCACTATTACGGAGTATTTGGTTTAGAAAGCAAAGACTTGGTCTTCCAGCTTGCTGACGGGGCGAGCCTTCTTGAAGCCGAGAGATTCGGTAGCCTTCTTAAGACCGCTGATCATGGGCGGCGGGCCACACAGCAGAATCTTGACATCATCGGCGGGCTTCGGGAGATATTTCTGTGGTACCAAATGGTCAACAGATGCGCATCGGGGTTTGGCGTTTTTTTCTTTTGCAACTTACCTGAACCATCTCAGCGGTGACGTAGCCAACACCGCCTTCCCAACCGGCAGGCGGCTTATCGAGAACGTAGTGTACGCGGATGCCCTTGTCTTGGCTGGTGAGGGCGTCGAGGTCTTCGCGCAGCAGGATGTCCTGCTCGGTGACGTTGGCAAAGATGAGGTCGACCTCGGTGCGATCGTTGGCGGACTCGCGGCCGCGGACGATGGCCTTGATGACCTGCAGCATGGGGGTGATGCCCGTGCCGCCAGCGATCATACCGAAGCGGCGAACCATGTTGGGGGTGTACACGAACGCGCCCTTGGGTCCCTTGACGCGAATTGTCTGACCGACCGCCAGCGAGGCCATGTGCCGCGAGATGTTGCCCTGCGGGTATGACTTGATCAGGAGGTCGAAGTGGCCCGGCTGGTGATCCCCGGAGATGGGCGTGTAGGAGCGGACAATTTCCTTCGTCGTCCCATCGGCCTGCGCGAGCGCTGCCCCGATGGAGATGTGCTGGCCGATCGGGAGGCCGAGGATGTCGGTCGGTGTGGGGAGGGCGAATCGATAACTAGTGCCAGACAAGCTTGGTCAGCAACGTGGTGGAGAATACTGGCGGCGTATCAACTCTAGGGGAGGGAGGAACGCATACATCGCGACGTTGTGCGAGATAATCGTCTTCTCCTTGAGCTCAAACTCTTGGAAAGCGTCAGGTTTGAGGACAGCTTTGGGGACTGCGTTGGGTTAGCGATTGATCAATTGGGTCCTTCCGAGCTTGAAAACACGACTGAAAACATACCGCTGTTGTAAAACTTGAGGGCGCTGAGGATAATGCCCACCAGCAATGCGTAGCCGGTCCATGCGGTCTTCACAATGGCGGTGCCGAAGACGAGCAGGCCTAGGGGGATGTAGATGCCATCGACATACTTGCGCGCCAGGAGAGGGTGTGCCATTTTTGTGGTTATTTGAGCACACGAGACGGTGGGTGCAAAATGTTTAGAAAGAGAGGAGAGGAATGGTCGGGCAAGAGAGGTCTTACTTAACACGGGGATAGAACCGCGAAGCCGGGGCCGGGGCTGCTCCCAAGTTATAAAAGGAGTCGAGAAACTTTATCGGCATGGGGAAACAACTTTGAGTGGGTCTAGCGGGCTTGTTGCTCACTTGTTCTTCATGTGTCGCGAGCTAGACCGGGGTTTGCTGCAGGACCAATACCATTTTGGCGGGCTTCTGGAGCCGTGGTTCAACAATTCGGCTCCCTGTCGGGTGGTCCATGCCCCTTGTCGGGCAGTTTCCCGGATCCATCATGCCCGTCGATCATGCCCGCATCACAGCTGGCACCTTTGGCAAAAGACTCAAGAAACCCGATTACTGGTACCTTCGTAAGGGCCGGTAGGGCCCTGGTGCGAAGAGCCCGATGATGTAAAGAACACATTTACGAAGTATGATCGGTTTTTTCTTTCTCTGCTCTGCCGAGCTGATGTAATGAAATGTCGATTATGGCCTTGCTCTACCACTCGGAGCTCTGCGCGGCGACCTCGGAGCGTCTGCATGCAACCTTGAATGACTTCTTGAAACTTTGACACTTGCAACCTCCCCACATCTGCACAACGTTGGAACCTGAGGAGAACACCGCGCCCAATTCACACCACAATCTCGAGAGCCGGTGAAAGACCTTCAAATGGGTGAAAACGTGGTAGAAGAGGCGCCATTCCCTCTCACGGATCTGGATAAACAGGTCCTGTCCCAAACGGACGAGGAGTACACGTATCATACCTGGGATGAGCTCTATTCTCTCATTCGTACGCCTAACTTGATTCATTATCTTCCGACCGATCGCATATTTCACAAACTAACATACCCACCAGAAAACAACCAGCTCTTCCTCCTCAAGAGGAAACCGTCCGACCTGCGGCGATACATGAAGTGGACAGCTGAAGTCAAGGCCGAATACGGCGGGATTACCAACTATCTCCTTGCCCACCGTTTGCCCAAGGCTTGGGGATCCCCACCATTCAAATGGGAATCCGAGACGCCGTTCGCAGAGCCAGCAGACTATCGTGTGCTGATCAACGACTGGCCGTACGGCTTCACGCCAGGCATCACCCATATTGTCGTGTGGTCCCGTACCCCGATCGCCACGGACGATACCGTCGGTGATTTGACTCCCGAGAGCAGGAAAACGGTGGGGGATTTTATCAAGCGTTATTTTGTTGATAGTCTTGGGCCCGGCGGTGAAGATAAGGTGATTTGGTTCAAGAACTGGGTGGCGCTCCAGAGTGTACGAACGGTGGACCATGTACACGTTTTTGTGAGAGACGTCGAACTGGCCGTGCTCAAGGAGTGGACGAAAGAGCTTGATTGCCACCGAACTTGACGGGTGACGATGGGCGTAGCTGAGGGGTGAGAGGGCTTATTTGATGTAGATTGCCAAGGCCTATGCTGCCCGTCGTTGCTTTCGGTTTCCGGGGGGAGCTGCGGCAGCATTCGGGTTGGCACCCATCTGAGCCATCTGTTTTGCGGCACCCATCATACCAAACGCTTTGTAGGCCCCGTAAGCAGGAACTACAGCCCACAAGAACCACGCCCAGTTGCCGAATAAAGCGACCAGAATGGTAGCGCCCCAAGTGACCCAGATGACATCGAACATGAAGTCGGTCAGGCCCGGAGCTGACAGGTCTTCCCCAGACGACTTCAGAGCTTTCGTATTGCCGTCATAGCTGGGGCGGCCGGTCCTTTCTAGAATGAACTGGCAGATGAAACTGGGTAGGGAGAGGATCGCCCAAAGCACCAGCGAGCGCGACCTGAAGATGAAGTGCAGGAGTAGGAAGAGGGCGTTGACGATGAGCGAACCAGTGTGGAGGTTGTTGAGGGCAGCCGAGTTCGACTTGGCCCGGTCCTTACGTGCTTTTTGTGCCATTTTGTTCCGGAAAGGTGTTTTGAAGTCGACTAGAGATGGGGTTGGAGTCGCGGCGATGTACCAAGCACAGATTTCAGCTCGTTGAGCTGAACACGCTGAGTATGTCCAGAACTGGAAACACAGTGGCATCGAGATTGGACCCACAGGTCCCTGACATACCCCTGCATCTTGAGCACCAGCCACTTTGAAAATATTACAAGACTCTGGCGTCAACTTTTCGGGCACCCTCGCACCTTACGGGTGAAGAACTCTGCCATCAAGTAAGGAATGAGGCTACGTCTTACAGAATATTACAACTTCTCTGTACATCATAGTTATTTTATAGATCCGCCCTCCACAACATTATCAGCTCTCCAAGGATGACATCACGAGCCTTCATCAGGGGAGCTTCATTTTGTGGCTAGTGAGCCCAGTGGGCCACCCCACATCAATTGGTTGCTCGGCAGGCTGCACCCGCCCCATCGTTCGCGGGTGCCCAATCAGCCGCGAGGTGCTGAAGCCCACCACAACAACGCAAAGGAGGTTGACGCCTTGACAGCTTCGCGGCCCATTCATGACAATCCACCACCCTCCCTTTGATTCGAAATCTAGGGACTGGCAATTGTCGACCGTGTACAATCGCGACTTCTTTTCTTTTCATTTTCTGGGTTGGGAAGTCATGCATCTGGAGCAAAGGAGAACTTGAGCACCAGCCTTGCGGGCCCGCATTGCTCGTTCATTGTTTTATTTTTCTCCTTTCGCTGACCCTGGCGTCACTTGCGTGAGCAGCCGTGCCGACCATTTCCAGGCTAGCAACTTGCCGACTTCTGAATTGGCAGCGACCCGTCCAAGCCGCCATCTCCATCCGATCGATACTGCGCGTGCAATTCCGGCCTTAACTTTTTGAATTTAATACCGTAGCTCCATCAGTGATTCCCCCCGATCTCCCAATCAACAACAACCCCTCGCTCGACTCGACTCATTCGCGGTGCGGCCAACCAAGCGACCCGAAAGTTCCACAGCTCGTTCCCGCCACCAGACAACCAACATCATCTTTTTCTTGCCCTCACCAGTACTGGTCTCGTCCATGTGGAACAAGCGCACGCAACTCCGGTCAACAACCTGTCTGAGCGACCCTATGGACGATCCTCGCCGGTAGAAACTGGAACTTCATCTCGCAGACCAATCCGGGTACAACCCCCCTCCTGCGAGATGGCGCCGACTAGCTCTGCGATTTCTGGCTTGCTCAAGCAGACCATTTATTACCACCTTGACAATATCTCATATCAAAACGCCCTCTTCTTCGCCGAAAGGCTGCACGCCCACGATCAGCGCTCTCCCGAGTCCGCGTACCTTCTCGCACTTTCTCACCTCCGTCTCGGCGATCTCCGTTCCGCGTACGAAATCAGCAAATCCTCAGGGTGTCGCGGGGCTCATCTCGGATGCTCCTTTGTGTTCGCGCAGTCATGCCTGGATCTGGACCGGTACAAGGACGGGATCGCAGCGCTAGAGAAGGCCCGACCCTTGTGGGCAACAAAGTGCAGCATCGGGAAACATACGACCTCCGGACGATCGCCATATCCTGACGCCGCTGCCGTTAACTGCCTCTTAGGCAAGTTGTACCGGGGCTACGATGATAAGAAGCGAGCCGTCTCTTGTTTCGAGGACGCGCTGAGGGCGAATCCCTTCATGTGGGATGCCTTCACTATTCTCTGCGACATGGGCGTTAATGTGATGGTACCAAACATCTTCAAACTTAATGACAACTTTTCTCGCAGTTTTGATCACGAACCAGATGCGACTAATCCCGACTCTGGTGGCGGCCCCGTGGATCCGCTGCAGCGTAAGACTGGTATTCAGGGCGCTGGGCACGACAGCGATCCGTTTGGGGGGCATCGGTCCACAGCATTCCAAGACGTTTCGAGTAATAACATGTTGTTTGTCGACCCGGGCGAGAACGACAACAGTTCGAGGCCGGTTGCCTCCCATTCGAGATTTGGATCGAACCGACATGGCACGGACAGCATGGAAACCCCGACCGGCTCTGTGCCTGTCCCGGAAGCACAGGCTCCTCGTGCAGCTTTCCCCTCCGAACCCCCGTTAGCCCCGTCTCGTCGAACACGCGGTGCTCAAGCAGCGGAGCCCGCCTTCCTCGACGCCCCGCCCAAGATGAGCTACCGCCTGGGGGCAAGGAAGCGGGAGAAGGCCCAGGATCCCATGGGGGACAACTCGACGGAGCCACCTGCACGAGGTGCTGCGTTATCCCAGGCCATCACGGAAAGGAAACGTACGGCTTCGGGACACCCCGTTCAGCCGCGCCCAAACAACAGTGAAGAACCGCGGAGGAGCGCCCGGTTAAATGTAGCTCCAAGGACGACATCGAGGGCCAACACCACTGTCAACGCAACAGGCGCGACTGCTACTCGAGAGTTGAAGAAGGCTAGGCCCCCAATTTCAAGGATTGGTCGCCCTGGCTCCAGCGGAGCCACCGTTGGTCGAGTCGTGAGCGGGAATCGAAAGCCACTGGAAGAGAACATTATGGATGTTGACGAAGTGCCAAGAGCCAAGGAATCGTCCGCTGCGCTGGCTTTACCTCCAAGACAAACCGAATCCGAGCAGATCAAAACTGAGGAGGGGTTGAGGTGGATCCTGGATTTCTTGAAAAAGATTGCTTCCGGATACCGACTTTCATCCCAGTTTCAATGCCAAGAAGCGTTGACTGCGTTCTCATCACTCCCTCGGGCCCACCAGGACACACCATGGGTGTTGGCCAGGATGGCGAAAGCCCATTACGAATTGGCCAATTATGCCGACGCCGAACGGTTCTTCAAGCGGCTGCGCATACTCGCCCCGACACGTCTGGAGGATATGGAGGTGTACTCCACGGTGCTCTGGCAACTCAGGAAGACGACGGATCTCTCATTCCTCGCACATGAGCTGATTGAGATGGATTGGGAATCGCCGCAAGCTTGGTGCGTGATGGGGAACGCGTTTTCCTTGGACAGCGATCACGAGCAGGCCTTACAATGTTTCAAGCGTGCCATTCATCTTGATCCTAAGTTCGCATATGCGTACACTTTGCAAGGGCACGAGCACGTTGAGAATGAGGAGTATGACAAAGCGCTTGTGTCATATCGGCGTTCGATCGCAGCGGACAAGCGACATTACAACGCCTACTACGGCATCGGCAAGGTTTACGAGAAGTTAGGGAGTTACGACAAGGCCTTGAGCCACTACCACGCGGCACTGGTGATTCACCCGACACACGCTGTACTGATCTGTTGCTTAGGCACGGTGCTGCACAGGCAAAAACAGATTGTCCAGGCGCTGCCATATTTCGTCAAGGCGGTCGAGCTGGCCCCTCGGGCGCCCGAGATGCGGAGCAAGAAGGCCGGCGCATTGCTAGCCACGGGGCAGCTGGAAGAGGCGAAGCGGGAACTGATGATTTTGAGGGATGTGGCACCGAATAATGCCCAGGTCCACTTCCTGCTGGCCAAACTTGCGAAGACTCTCGGGGATAAGAGGACAGCAGTGCGGCATTTCACTATTGCCCTGAGCCTGGACCCTAAGGTATGCTTTCCCTCTACCTTTATAATAACCTTTCATGTACTAATGCGCGAGACAGGCCAGCGGCGAGATTAAAAACGAGATTGGGGGGCTCGAGGAGGATGAGGGTTTAGACGATTCTATGATGCAGTGACAAGGATCAGCCAAACGCGTGAACCTAATTCTGCGATACCCCACGACGTCCGACGAACAAGCATCACGACTGGAGTAAGCATCAGGTTGTTTTTCCGGTGGCGCCGTGATTTAAAGCTTCTTTCTTTCCTCTCGGTTCCCTTCGGCGGTGGCAATACCCTTTTTTCGGGCGGCAATTTAGTTTCTTCTCTCACGACACGGGCGGGCAGCAGCATTCCGTAGTATGCATGGCAAGGGCGTTCTTGGGACAGCATTTGAAGTATGCTTTGCGTTTTCTTCGTGGGTTGCAACCGTTGGGTGGAACCTAGAACGGCACTAGTGGAAGGTACCTGCCTACCTAGTTGTATGTATGAGTATCCGAGCATCACATTGGCCGGCATGTATATGTGGTAGGGAAGGCGTCAGTTGGCGTCGTCACGGTGGAATCATAACCGGGAGCTCATAGCAGTCTGAGCAAGGACTCGATACCCAGGACGGGCGGTGCAAAATCAATAACATATGAGATAGCTTTGAACAGAGCCAGACCCAACCGTGCCAACCTATTCTAAGAATTCTTGATCCCACGTGGCTCATGCGGTGGTATGTCCAGGAACGGCATTTTAAAAGAAAGGGACAGGAAGACCCCGGGTTTGAGGTAGCATGCTAAAAATCAGGCAAACAACTGATTTGGCAAGAGGTCGGTTTGCCTGACGCGTGTAGAGGAGAACAAGTTGAGACGGCGCGCCCCGATGCGAGCCGGGAACTCTTGCAGCCGGGCAGCCAATCAAAACGCAGTTCCGGGAGGCGCGCTGAGCCGCTTGGCATCGGGCGCTTTGACCACAGTTTTTGCGGGGCGCGTTTTTTCAAAGCCGTTTAGCAGGACCAAAAGTGAAGGCCAAACCCAGCCCATTTGCCGCGGTTTTGACAGCCCATTTTCGGAGTTCCAAAACATGCATTCAAACAACGCTTTTTGAACAGGGAAAGCACCAACACAAAAATTCCACATCCGAAACGGGACTAGTGGCCACCCTCCCAAATCAGCTGCGCTTTCTGATTCTGCCACCCGCCCCCCAACCTATTTAAGCCTCGTCTCCTCATACCTGGCTTTTCCCAAAACCCCTCTCATTTTGTCAATTGCGTGTGTTTGGTCAATCATCAACGGCATCAACTTTTCCATCGATTTATCGGCCCAGTCCATTCAATAAACATAACTTCAACTTCCCAATACATCCATCAAGATGACTGGACGTAAGTTGCATTTTTTTTTTTGACTCCCTGCATCATCGTCGGCGTTGCAGATGAGGTTGTTGGTCGCGATGCCGGGAGTGTTGGTGGGGCTCCACGCGTCCCACATGCACGCGTCTGGGCTCAACACCAAAACAACTATCGCACACCACGCTTCACATGATGTTGTGGTTTCAACACCCATTTTTTCTTTCATAGGTTGACAGCACACTAACATCTCTCCCTTTTTAGGCGGCAAGGGCGGTAAGGGTCTCGGCAAGGGTGGTGCCAAGCGCCATCGCAAGATTCTTCGCGACAACATTCAGGGTATCACCAAGCCCGCTATCCGCCGTCTGGCTCGCCGTGGCGGTGTCAAGCGTATCTCAGCCAGTATGTTCTCTCTGCTTCCTTTGTCGCGCTCAGAACAGTGTTGCTAACAATGCTGCTTTGTAGTGATTTACGAGGAGACCCGTGGTGTTCTCAAGTCCTTCCTCGAGGGTGTCATCCGTGACGCCGTCACCTACACCGAGCACGCCAAGCGCAAGACCGTGACCTCGCTCGATGTTGTCTACGCCCTCAAGCGCCAGGGCCGCACCCTTTACGGTTTCGGTGGTTAAGCAGCTCGTGGAGCTGGCTTGTAGAGGTGGGGGTTTGGTTACGCTCTCACCAAAGGGCGGACCAATGGAGTCTGGGATGATAATGGCATCGTGGGATACATTTTGCTCCGCGTATTTTTCTACTGGCGTTGGGAACGGTGGGAGGCTAGGCACAACTGTGATACGGTCGATGACATGACCACGGCGTCTTTGGGAGGGTGGTTACCCCATGACAATACATTGATTTGATCAAGTTATACCCCGTGCCCTGTGTCTTATTTCCTCATGATCCTCTCGATGTCGTTCGCCATGATGAAAACAAAAGAAAAACGCGCTCTAATTTCGAATGCTGGAGTAAAATTGGTTTGCATTTTACAAATATTTTCGCCCTGCTGCCGCTACTCTTTGTCGGAACACCGGGCTCCGAATCCCCATGTTCACCTTGTAGAAGGGACTCATGATCGCCTTGACGTAGTTTTCGTACACCTCGCCAAAGAAGTTCTTGATGGCCTCTTCTGTTTGTGGGCTTGTGGGGTTAGCGCCGACGGCTGTGGAATTGCGTGATGGGTTTGCCACGGGTGTCACGCCAGAAACACCGGCTGTCGCCGCCGCAGCTGCTGCTGCTGTCGCGGTGGGCTGGTGCAAGAGTAGAAACTTGACGTTCCCCGCGGTCATGAAACAGGATATGTAGTTGGTGAAGAACTTGTCGATCACTTTCAAGTATCTAGTTGCAGGAGTCAGTCAAGATACGAGAGCCAAGTTGTCGCCTGGTTGATGTTGAAGGACAGGGCGCTCAGAAGGAGAGAGGTTGAGTGCCAATGGGGGAACGACGGAGAAATGGCACGCACAACTGTCCGTTCGTCCACTGCACCTCTTCGACGATGTCTAAGCTGCTGTGCAGCACAAACTGGTTGAGGTGGTGCGCATCGTCCGGGAAACGGGCTTGTCCGTCGCCTCCCTGCTTGCTCGTGCCAAACTCGTACTCGAAGAGTGGATTATCTTGGGTGCCGATGATGGCGAAGTAGTAGCTCATGTTTGCTGCAACTTGCGGCTTGGGCCGCTGGTCGGAGAGGGTGAAATCGGGGTAAGCGTATGGACAGGTGGATTATGGGAAACCAGTTTACTTCGGCCCTGAAATCAGTATTATCGGCCAATCATTCAGACGTGGTGGTGTATCAAGTGTCGTGTGCGGTGTGGTGGCGTGGTGATGCTGTTGAACTCATCGTGGTGGAGGAGAGGCTCACCCTAGCACTCAAGCAGCCACCTCTTGCAGCTTGAATGCACGAAGGGTTGCAGCGATGTCCAGGCTTGGGCTCCCGCGGCCAGCGGGGCGTATTCTCCACCATTGCTCCAAAGGCACCGGTTCTGATTGGCTTGGCGCTTGCGACGAGGAGCCGCATTTTTTCTAACAGCAGCCCGGTAAAGCCAAAGGAAACGGCCCCTCCACGTCGTCGGCTTGTCCCGCCCGACCTTCAATCCTCCCGAACAACAACTGTTGCAGGCCGATAAACATGTTCGGGCCCTTCAGAATTACGAGCTCCCTTAGCGGGGGTCTTCTATGGTACGCCTCCTCCCGGCTCGCGGAATGCGAGAAGGTCCACCGATCCCAAATCAACGCCTTCGCGACACTAACGGACGGACAGGAAGATACCTTGGCGCCTCTCCCCGACACAGAAGTTCCGGCAACGGAAACGGTTACGAGCTGTCGACCAGGTTGTTGAGACGTTGAGCAAGGCGCTAGCAAAAAAGGGCGAGACGCTCGCCTCGTTGGAGCGGTGGAAGTCCGAGATGCCGACCGAGGCACAGATGCAGCCACGCGACAAGTACACGATGTTCGACCGGAAAGAGAAGAGATACCGCAAGGGAATTCACAGTATGTTGTTCATGTTCATTCAGTACAGGACGGGGGGGTTACCCGGTGTCCTCCTTGGAACTAACGTGAGATGTAGAACTTCCCAAGTGGACCCGTGTATCCCAAAGAGTCAACCCGCCAGGTTACTAGACGAGAAAATCGACAGGCCTGGGAATGTATATTGTTATCCTATTGGAATTGGGATGTATGGCGTTATGGCGGTACCATTTTTGATGTCAACGATGTGGAACTAGGGTTGTAGATGGACCAGAGGCAGTAATGAACAAACTGTCAAAAGGACGCCATTGTGATTCCCTAGGGTATTGCCTGCCTGTCCCCAAATCCCGCGCCACGCTCCACGTCCTCGCATTCCAGATTATCAATCCTATCTTAAACGCCCGTGATCATCATCGTAGTTATTCGCCTCACGGTCTCTCCGAGACGGTTGAATGGCTCTGCCGAGGCCACCACGTCCCTCATCATAGTCCTCGCGATACTCATCGCGCACCTGCCCCCCAGATTTGCCACGGCCATATTGCCGACCCTCGGTGAAGCCTGGGTCCAGGTCTGTTCGAATTACGCGCTCGTCCAACTTCGTCCCGCCGATGTACTTCATACAGTCGAGTGCGTCTTGATGGGTGTAGTACTCGACGAAGCAAAAACCGCATGGTGTTTTTGTGAAGCGGTCAAGGCCCATGACCAACCGTTTGATCTCGCCACACTTCGAAAATAGCTCGTATACCTGCTCTTCGGTGGTGTAGAAAGACCTGTGAGGGTACGCTTTGGATCAGCCACGCCGCTTTCTCCATCCATCGAGTCGGCAAAGCCGCTTACAGGTTGCCAACGTAAATGGTAGCCGCATCTTTCAAGGGGTCCTCCTCGGGTTGGTCGTTCTGCATGTTAGTATCGTCGTCTCCATCGCGCTGATCCTTGTTGTCGAATCGTCTTCGTTTGTTCTGCGACGTTGAAAAGTCCACTTGTTAGACATTGGCGACATCACTGTCTGTGGTAAAGAATCGGGCAACTCACTCGGTTATTGAAATAGGCGCTCGGTTGGTCGAGCCGTTCGACCGTTGCTCGTGGGCCCCGCATGCTGTATGTACTTGTTTTGGATGACGGATCGCCTTCATACACAATCAAAAAGATGGTTGAAGGTGAAGCACCACCTCTTGATGAATGTAAAAGCGGGTCCTGCTTGACGCGACGATGGCAGATTGACAGGGGTCTGACCTGCCTGCCGAGAAAAGCTGCAGTGCCTTTTGTGCTCCAGCCAAACGGACGCGCTGGGCGCCGCGACCAAAAGAGCTTCTTCCCCAACCTCCGCCAAACTTGCGCATCTGCAACTGCCACCAAGCGACCCCCCGTTTTTGCTAGGTATTGTCCGCCGCCTCGCATCGCGTTTCACTTTTCGACGTTTGATCAAACTTGGGAATAGATTCCCCCGTCTCCCCCCACGAAAAACTGCATTTCTCGTTTGCAGATGCCGAAGATCAAGAGCTTTGCGCCGAGCTGGCTCAATGAGCCATCTCCCGCTCATAAGCTCTTCGAGCAGCCGATTGACGATGGGAGGGGTTCTGCGGGGCCTCCGTATGGCACGAGGAAACCGAAGCCCGGGCCAAGGCGAACCATAGCGCGTCGGGGCACTGAGGTGTTTGTGGCAGTCGGGAAGCAAATACGATGGGGCGATCTTGCCTACCTCAAGGAATCGTGGGAGACAAAGCCCGGGCACTCCAACTTGGTAACCCGTATCAAGAGAGAGGGGTCTGACGGCTCTTTTGAAGCCGAGGATGGTTCTGGAATTGACGGTTCCCGTGTGAGTGCAGCACGACCAACAATGAGTTTTGGGCCGTGGACTAACAACATGGGACATTCAGATCATTAAGACACCGGTGGCCGACGATATCCGCCAGCTGGTAATTTCGCCGAATCAAGATCTCCTCGCCGTTTTGACCTCTCACACCATACACATCTGCCTTCTACCTGACTCCTCGCATCTTTATGCCCGGGATGCTACGCCATTCAAGCCCAAGTTCTGGACCCTTGGACCGACGACACATGTTACCTCACGTCCGGCAGTCGTCTCTGCGCTATGGCATCCTCTGGGCGTGAACGGAACGGCGCTTGTCACGGTTACGGAAGACGCGGTCGTGCGCATCTGGGAATTGTCAACGGCCGATCGTTGGACCTTTGATTCAGCCACCCTCGCCATTGATCTGAAGCGGCTGGCGGATGGCACATCTTTGGACCAGGATTTTGGGGTTTCGGTGTCGGCCACCAACAAGGGATTCTCGCCTGATGCGTTCGACATGGAAGTTGCGGCCGCGTGCTTCCCTGCTAGAGCCTCCGGCGGCTGGTCACCGATGACCTTGTGGGTCGCTATGGCAGGCGGCGATGTGTACTCGCTTTGCCCGCTGCTGCCACAGCGTTGGGCACCGCCCCCTACCTTGATTCCCTCTCTCTCGGTTTCTATCGTGGCTGGGGTTGCAGCGACGGAGGATGACCCCGAAGCTTCTGCCGATACCCGCTTGTTGGCCCAGCAGCAGCTAGACTGGATGTCCGATTTGGATAATCAGGAGCCCAAGATTTTGGAGGGTGGCCTTGGCGAACCTCCGGTAGAGGTTTATACCCGTCCAACAAGGCCTGGCATCGTCCCAAGACTCCAAGGCCCGTTCGAGTTTGACTTGAATCCAGAAGACGAACAAGACGATGAGGTGGAACTCAAGGACATTTACGTCATTGGGGAGAAGGCTCGTCTCAATGATTTGATGATGGGTGAAGAGGAAGAACTGGAGGTGGACGAAGAGGAAGGCAGTGGATTGTCACTAACGGTCGTTTGTCTTCTCTCTACGAGTGGTCAAGTCAAGATCTGTCTGGATGTGAACGGAGTCGAGGCCCAATGGCTTCCTCCCAAGCAAAAGAATAGGTCCAGGGCGTTCACTGCGCCTCCCAACACCCCCTCCCTATTGACATTCCAGACCTTTGACACGCTCAAGCCAGTCGAGGTTTTGCCGGATAGTTGGCCCATGTTCAGTGAGGACACCGCCTCTCGCTATTCTTTTTACGTCACACACCCCGCAGGCATTACTTCTGTTTCGCTGGCCCCGTGGGTGTTCCGGCTTGAGAGCGAGCTTCAGGGAGACGGAGAGGCCGGGGCGGATTTCCGTCTTGACCTGCTTGTCCGAGGACAAGGCTCGGAGCGGGAGCGCATCTACACACAACCTCGTGGACAGAATTCACTCGCAGCAGCAACGGTTATCCAGGACCCGGACCTCGGCCACTTTGTTTTGTCCGCTACCCACCAAGACCCGGTCGTGCTTTTCTTCGAGACACCCATACGTGAAGTTGCCCCCAGGGAATCCCCAGAGGCAGTCTTTGAGCGCGTCGAGCTTCCGCAGCTAGACCTCGGATGGGAGCCACGACCGCTTTTCCATGCTTCTGAAGCGTTGGATCAGAAGAGCATGATGCCCACGTGGATTGATCACTTGAAGACAGGCAGAAGACGTCCGCTGTTCCACCAGGAAGTGCGACTCTCAATGGCGACACTCGAAGTCTTTACTGAAGGCCACAAGGTTCTCGCTAGCGAGGTGGATAACATCAATAGTGCGGTTGCGCAACTGTTCAGGAGGTGCCAGACGCTCCAGGAGGAACTCAGGCAGCAGATTGAAAAGGCGAATGAGGGGAAGAAGCAGGTCGACGTAATTACTGGTGAGGACTCGGGTGATGAGTCACCAGTTTCACAAGATAACATCACGCGCAACCGCCTTCGCCAAGCTCGGGAACGACAAGAAGAGCTCGCGAGTAGGATGGAAAAGCTTAAGCGACAGTTGGGCAGGGCGACGAGCCGGGAACTGAGCGAGAAAGAAAAGGCGTGGGCCGATGAGGTACGGGCGCTAGGGAGCAGCATTCTCGGCCCCGAGGCAGGCCAAACATCGTCACCGGCTTCGTTGTCGCCTTCTAAGGCTCAGCAGCCCTGGAAACGGTTCGAGGAGATCAAGGCGCTCCGGGATGCCCTGACGGCACAGGCGGAACAGCTGCAGCGGGCCCGCGACGGCCCCACGGACGACGCATCACCCTCTCCAGTGCCTGGCCTGAGGATCCCGACCGAGGTACGCAGGCAAAAGATGGCCCAGGTCATCGGCCTCTTAGATCGTGAAACTGCTCTTGTGGATGCCGTGAAGGCCCGCATTGAACGACTCAGTATTGGCTAGGCGGACGAAATTTCGCGGCGGATCGACAGGTGGGAAACAGGTCGACTGGACTCAACGAGAGGAGCACAAGAAAGAGGGCGGTCAGACCGGGCCAGGCCCACCCACACAAACAGTCAGGCAGGACAGGAAGCAGCAAGCCAACCATTTAGTTAGCCAGTCCGTCCGACCATTGTTTTCCCGCTGTCGGTGAGGAGGACCAAACGGATAATTCTATTGTACTCACAGCCCCGGATGGGACCCCGGCTCCCTCCCCTCATGCGCCCTTGTGTGTTTGTTGCTGTTTTGCCTCTCCCGTTATATCTGGATCTTGTTGACTCGGACGGCCGCCTTAACAATGACGGGACCCTGCTGTGATGTCTGCCTATGGCCTGTGCCTGCTGACGCTACTGAGCGCTGCCCGTTTGCTTACCCCGTCGGTAGGCCGCGGAGGCCAATCATCGTGAGATGGACTGGGGGGGGGGTCGGATGGCGCTTGGGTTCTAAGTGGATGGAAAAGAGAATGGTGACCCACGTTGGGAGAGAAATTGAACGGTACGACCTGTTGACCCAAAGGAAGAGGGCACCAGTTAGGGTGGGATAAATTTTCTGTAGTTGTCGACGAGAGGACCGGTGTATGCTTGGGGGG